ACTTAGGGCACAAAAGCTGAGTGAATGAACAAAAGCAGATCAGAGCCCCTGGAAAAGAAGCCTGCCTATAATTCATACTGCAAGACCCCCTTACTGAAGTAAATTCACTTGAGATACATTGGAGATCTTATAATGCAAAATTTGTTAGGGAAGTTGAGAAATTAAAGAGGGACGGTTTCAAAAGGGAAACTACATTACAGACACACACACATTTGCTCCTTTGCCACTGTGAATGGGTGTGGGGAGGTGGGTGGGCAGATTCTAGTTTTGCTGCTGCTTCTGGTACAGGATTCATAATTTTACAACATAAAAGTGTCACCTAGTTAACCTTTACTGTGACCTATGAAAAAAGTAACTGAGGCAAATTCTCCAAAGAACTTGAAACACAATAGGGGGGAAAGTTTAGGAGGACTACAACAAAATTTAAATGCTCAAAAGTAAAGAACCAGCTGAATGCAGCAGCAGGGCTAAAAGGAAATGATAAGGCATCACTTTTTTTATATTCTAAAGCTGTGCTGTCTGAAAGAGCTTCACCTCATGTGGCTACCGAGCACTTGAAATATGCTTAATTCAAATCACAACATAATGTAAAATATACACTGGATTTTGAAAACAGTACATTTCTGTATTTTTGTATTGTATATTGAGAGCAACATTTCAGACTATTGGGTTAAATATATTACTGAATTCATTTCCCTTGTTTTTGTTTTTTTAATGTGGCTACCAGAAAAACTTAAATGACATCAGGTGACTTATTTCCATTGGATAGTGCTGCCTAACATGGAGATCTCCCAAGATCATGTTGCTCTGTGAACCTAGAGCTGTGCTGTTCAAATACAGTAGCCACTAGCCACGTGTGATTTAAACTTAATAGTAGCTACAAAGACTAGTAACTACCATATTAGTGCAGATGAGAACATTCCCACAGAGAAAATTTTATTGGACAGCACTTGTCTAGAAGAATGACCAAGAGCTGGACAGTTCATACTGAAGAGCTAAAACTCTATCATACTGACCCAGAATTTGAAACGAATGAATTTCAGATAATTCACTATATACGTGTTAAACTGACGGAAAAAGTCACTTAATTCTGGAGCTTTTATGAACGTCTTACAAGAGCATGTTTATAAGAAATGGTACTTGGCAGTTAGTCCAAAAGTTATTAAAAAGATGAAGGTTCTCTCTAGTACGCCAAGACACCCTTGGACACCAGAGAACCAACCCTTCCTGCCTGCCCTACTCATCATTCAGCTCAGTCATGCCCCAGAATGCAAACCTCAGGCTATACCATTAAGGGGGCAACTTTAAGAGCTTCCAGGACAAACACCATTTTACATAGTGCCAATGTACTCCCCACTACTAATCATTTCATTGTACTAGATCAGCATACTGTGTACCCATGAACTTTGGTCAGAGATCACACCTTCCTTCAGCTTAAACACACAAGGCTTCCTTTACACTTGTTTTTGTCTGACCATTTAGCAACTGGCTAGGAAAACCTTTACCCAGTTCCTGTGGGACGTAAGTATACCTTGTACATGTACAAGTACAACCAAGAGCTTACTTGTGCAATTTAAGACTTCAACATTTTGAAGAAGACAAATTCGTTTTCCACCACAGCATGGTAAGAGCTGGGTGTACAACACTGCTAAAAAAATTGAGTTAGCATGGGTTACATCTATGGCTAAGCTGTATATCCTTGTGAATATCTTAAAAGCTTGGAGACAAGAGATGTTTCCAATTCCAACCTGTCAACTCACTGGTCATAGAGGCAAAGGTAATTGGCACTATCTACTTCAGTAAGACTGTACTAATCTTTCCACACTTTAGCCAGATTTATAGCAGAGGGACCCTGCTGGTCCCATAACCTACACAACAGAAGGAAGTTACGTATAAATGACCATCTCTATATTGCAACCCAGTATGTGGAGGAAGTGTAGTAGGGAGTGTCTTTAACTCACTTCCAAGTGGACAGGAAATCTTCAACAGCATCAGTTGGTATAAAACCCCTTAAACTAGCTGAATTTCTTTACCTTTAAGCCTTTCCCACTCTGTAAGGATTAACAAGTGGCATGTGGTAGAACAACGTGGTGGTTACATTTGATAGATACCACAAATGACATATCTTACTCATTAATCAAGAGCTGTGAGTGAACTCACACCAATTAAGATGCCGAGGCTAGACAGAAAGCAGTGAGGGAGCTTCAGTCTGCATAAAACTCATAGTCTTGGATACCAACAGTTACTGTATAAGCAGGTAAAGGGGCAAAACTGGCAGCATCAGAATAGAGAAGAAATTAAATACTACAGTGCAGCCCTGAATTCACTCCTGGGATGTGTTACGCTTATTCAACACCTGACTGTCCAGAGTTAATTATGTTCTCTTGCAGGTCATGACTCTATTTCCTCCAAATCACCTCCTCCTCTCAACATGAAATGACAAGTCATCAGCTGACCAGGAAAAATGAATGAATGACTTTAATCTATTAAATTACTAAAGACACGAATCCAGATGTCCAGAACTGAGGTGCCAGCTCCAATACTCTGCTGTGCCATTTTTCTACAGTTGGGTGTTTTCTTAGTCTCTATGAACTAATCGTCAACATTTTCCCTGGGGGGAGGTCCCTGGGCTACTTGACAGAATTCAATATGGTTAATGAGATTTCTCCCCACTACCTCCAGCCCCCAGACTTTTAAGAGTGCTGCCCTTCTGTCCTGAGGCTGGAATGCTTACATCACATGATTTTTTTTGCCCCATCTGAACTCTTCAGTAGTAAAACAATATTTAGAAAAGCAGTGCTACCTTAGCCACTTGTTACTAGTTATGTTGATCCAGAAAAGGAGCCATGTTCGAGAATGGCTGTGATATCCTCTGGCACAAAGTAGCTCAAGGTACCAAGAATAAATCCAGGGAATAGCATAGTAAAGAATTAACATTTATATGAGCAGACACCAGTAAGAGACAACTTGCTAAGTTGTTCAGCAAGAGGGTACACTCTAGAACATTTTACAGTAAGTTAATGTGATCTATCAGATTTTATGCCAAAAAAGATGAAAATGAAATCAAGCAATTTTTTAGTTAAAAAGAATAGCTCTAAGTTACAATTCTACCATATTCCAATAAAAGGTCTACTTTTGAGAGGCACGGAGAATGGTGGTGATGCACATAACTGATAAACTATTTCTTACTGTAAAACACTGGAAAGCAGACAACGAATTATAAAAGTGAGTGACCTCTCAGGAGCAAGAAAAGGAGTAATATTAGCACACAGTCCACCCCTTTAAAATGGTAAAAGCCATTCTGGGTATCTGTAGGCAGCTGATTTCACTCTGATTTCATTCAAGTGCTTAGTCAAACCTTCATAATTTTAAAACAGCTCAGTCAACTACCTGGAATTAAGTATGTTTAGTCTAACCCCTCTCACACACGCTAACAACCTAAAACTCTTAATAGGTCACAGTTATAAACGTTTTTCAAGAACTCTGGTTAAAAGAACAGCCCACTAATTTCTCTCCAACTGCAATCCAGATTTTTTTTTTAATGACTGGAGTTTACAGAAACTTTTCATCTGCTAATTTTTTCAGAAGTTGAACAAATGTGGAAGGGACAAAACCATCAGTATCAGAAAGCAGCAAATTTTTTTTCTCTCCCTTTTCCCCCACCTCAAATATCTCACATACTCAATGAAAACAGATTAAGCAAACAAAAAAGAATAAAACTTTAAAGGTATGTGCAATTGACAATGTATTCTGAAGATTTATTTTCCCATTTCCTAAAGTATCTGGTTTCCAGTTCTCTGAGTCCATACAACAGAAGTGGCTTGCTAGCAAAACACACAAACTCTGAAAATGTGGATACCACAAATTTGACCTAGAATCAAGTTTCCTCCCTGCTGTTCCGGGTACCATCTTCTTTCCACACTGCAGCATTAGCAGACATAAACAACAATTGTTACCTCCGAGATCACCATATCCACCTTTCCAAAGGCAAAAAATACTTTCAGGAGTTAAAAAAAAAACACCTGATGGCATAACTTGGTGGAGTACTATTGTGTAAAGCATTAAAAGCATCAGCCTGTTTTATTTTGTGACAAGTTTATTGAACAGTATTCAAGATTTTATGAACAAAAACCTCTGCTGAATAATGCCAAGGTAGTAAGTACTTGGTGGCAATGTTGTGGCCATACTGGCAATGAGTCATTTTATTGTGTTAGTTTCTAAAGTTTGGACTATAGCAGAACTGCCAGTAAATTCATGTGGTAATTTTTCAAGGTGGGAAATAATTTTTAAAAGTGATCACTGCCAGAAATTCTTTCCAGAAGATCTGACTAGCAACAAGGTTACATTTCTTTACTCATTTTTTAAGTGTCCTTGAAACTGGTGAGTGGATGTATTTTTAAACAGTTGACCCACACCTGTACACAATGACAGAATCCAATACAAAGGAGTTTGAGCTTAATAAAGGCTTTCATGCATCCTTATTTTTATCCAAGGTATGTTTACTTACTTCCATACAAAGCCCTAGATTTTTATTCAGTGGGTTAAGACTGATCTTCTAATTACACTGAATATTTACTCTCTGAAATTTCTAATGAAAAGTTTCCTAATGGGATTTTCACTGTTGGTGCTTTGACAACTTGGAAAAAAAGCTAGGAACTACATTTCACCTCAAAGGTAGGAACTGCATTTCACCTAATGCAGTTGCATTAAAAAAAAGCCGCTAGTAATTGTACATCTGAACTACAGTGTTAAACACAGAACACACCTCCAATTTTGCTTGTGAACTGTTTTGCTCAAGTTCAGATAAAGTGTACACATTTGCTTATTTATGAAATACATTTTGTGGACTTCTCTGACGCTTAAAAAAAAAAAAACCCCAAACAACAAAAAATCACCCCAGCAGGGGTAGAGGAGGAGATGAAAAAAATTTAAACCTAATGGAAAAGATTCTCTTCCATTCATCTCAGGAGTCACCAAAAACAGACAATAAGATTTACACATAAAGTTGAAAAATATCATGATGTGTTTACAAATGCACACAACTTCGAGCAAAGCTTTACAAATCCTTCATACCATACAAAGCAAATGAGAAAATAATGTAAGTTCATTTTTACCCCAAACCTAGTTCTTATGAGAAAATTTGCAGGAGGAAGAGAAGAGGTATGAATATTTTCACAGAACATATTTTCAAGAATTTTTTTAGAACTCAAACTCCAACGCCCAGAACAAGAACAGTATGCTTAGCAGTTAGAACTATGTTAATAAGTCCCAGATACACAAAAATTAAGTTCCAGAGGGCAAAGCATTTAATTACATTTCACAACTAAAGAAGCACTGTTGTGATTCAACCAAATATGAGACAGTTCTCTCCAATATCTACACAAACCACTATTTTCTCAATTTATTTAATTTGATAAACAATGAAATCATTTTCCTTTTTAGCATTTATCTAAGATGTAGAAATAACAAATTGCAATAATGTATATGAAATATTTAATAAAAATGTACGAACATATTACCAAAATAAATTGTGAAAAAGATAAAAGACTTTCATCTTCAAACAACCCATTTTTCTAAAATGAAAATAGTCAGCTTTCCAATGGGGAAAATAATCTGCAGTTGAAATAAGACTCCCAAGCAGCGCTGAAGTTTTTGCACTCTGTCTTTGGAATGAGAAGTGATTACTTAACAGAAAACTTAAATTGAACAGCATACACAAACATCATATTGCTTTTTTAGGTGACGAGGCAGTATCTAATGATCTGTCAAAGCAAATTAGTATTCATGAATTAAAAGACCCACAACACAGCCGTTATCTTCTTTGGAAGTCTAAACAATCCTTTCCTTAAACAAAAAATCCTATACTGTCAATCCTCTAAGATTATAGTGATAAAAGGCTTTCCAAATCTTATCACACAAATGAAACTGTTGCCACTCTTAACTCTAAATTACACAACGCTGTATTTCAGTGTTCCACTGACTTGTAACACCAAAAGGCACTATTTTTTTTTTTTAAATAGGAAATATCTCTTTTAAAAAGGCTGACTGGCCCCTTTGTAAGTACATTGAGATTTGAAGGTAATGTTGGGGCTGTTTCAAACCAAGATAGGGGCGCATGTAAAAGATAATTTTTTCATGAAATCTCATCAATCTCCTATTCCATGTTTATGGTGTGACACATCATTAGAGCATTTTAACTAAGAAGGAAAGTAACCATAAATAGAACCTTTTGTAGCAGACAGGAGGATGTTGTAAGCTGAATGTTTTCATGACAAGGACACTTACCAACCAGAACCCATGTGGTCTTCCTGCCTTAGTGTCCTGAATGCCAAAGAAAATAGCACAAAACGGCAAGAAGTCTCAATTCTCTCCCCTCTGGCAGCTACACTTGTACTCTGGATGAAGAATTTTTACAAACAGGCTCCTGATCAAACAACTAGACCAAAAAGCCTCCAAGTAACAGGATTAATGCACGTCAATCTATGGGCCAGCTTAGGTATCTTTTATTCTATAATACTATTGCTAACAAAGCTAACAATTTCAACTTCAGTTTTAAAAACCTAGATATATAATCATGCTCTTTCTTATGAATGGACCCTCTTTGTTTAGTTACAAGCCAAAATTTCACAAAAATTTGGAACAGAAGGAAATTGCCAGAACATTAGTCCATGATGGACAGGACCTCATATCAAGCATCGTAAACAATGATTACCAAAAATGGTTTTTGGTTTTTGATGCCATCCAAACATGAACAATTTTTAAACTGACTAAACTAAAACTTGGCGGTCAAACCAAAAAGGCTCTGGTAAGTAGAGGGCTCCATATTTTATTTTTGTGGAAAAAGTCCTATTTCACACAGTTTTAAGTGTGACATTAGAAATCAAAGTTCAAGGTATAGCACAAACCAAGTGTGGAGTGTTATATTAAAAAAACAACAAAACAGTTCTGCTCATTTACAAATGAGTCAATTAGGCAAACAAAGCAGTAACTACAGAAGGACTATCTATACAGCAAGAACCCTCAAGAAGGAATAACGGTACATACAGTGAATCTGTATACAGAGATTTTTATTCAATTTTAAAAGAAAATGAGGACTTTAGACAAAGCTTTGACCCTATAACAAAGCAAATCTGTCCAGCTTTAAACCAAATTCCAAGAGTAGCCAACTTCTTTTCTTAGTAGCTGGCAAGAGCACCTTTAATGAGCTCTATTGACATTTCTATTTTCTTCATCCCATATGGTATAAAACAAAACCAATCTAGACTCTTTGATAAGCTTTATATGGTCATTGCACTTTACAAATGGTTTCTCTAATGTATGCTAAAATCATTTTTGTTTTCTCTCCAGACAGCTTTACTGTAACATATAGCAATGTTTATCCTGGTAGTGAGTCTTCTGTAAACAGTCAACCAATGCTCTAAATTATAGAAACCAATCTATATGCAATTGAAACAATCCACAGGTTCTAACCTGGAAATACTAGGAAAACAATCTGGATGCATTAATCACAGCACTATGAAGATCTACCCTATAAAGAATTGATGTGAATATCTACCCTAATACTAGTTTTACTTTCCTTGATCCTATAGGTCTGTCATTTAAGTCAATGACAGCAGCTGTGGCTTCATCCCGAGATTCAAAGGCCACCATGGCTTCACCTGTGGGCATACCTTTTTCGTTGTATTTCAAACACACTGAGCCCGGGATCACTTGATAGCCATAAAAGAAATCTAAAATCTCATCAATAGACACAGTGAAGGGCATGTTCTGCACTTTAATTACTGTTGGTCCTGGTTTTCCAGAACTAGATCCAAAGCCAGGGGGACCACCAATGTGGATTGGGCCAGGGCCAGGCCCAGGCCCAGGGCCAGGCCCAAAAGTTGGTGGCCCACTTAAATGCCCAGGGGCACTTCCAAGACCAGGAGGCCCACTTCCAAAGCCAGGGGGGCCACCTAAACTACCAGGGCCATTTCCAAAATTCTGAGGGCCCCCTCCAAATCCTGGCCCACTTAAATTATTTGGTCCACCTCCAAATCCTGGCACATCCAGTCCTAGACCAGGCAACCCACTATTTCCAACTGAAGGCATACCAGGCCTAACATCACCAAACGCCCCTCCTAATCCTGGAGGAGGAAGTGGTGGCCCAAAGGCATTCGACCCACCAAAATTACCCGGAAAGTTAAATGGAGGCCCATTGCTGGCCTCCTTTGATCCTACAGTCAGGAAGGCATGCTCTTCACCTCCTGCACTAGGCATTCCCGCATTGGGCATTCCAGAACTTGGCATTCCAGCACTAGGTATTCCCGCACCGGGCACTCCAGGACCAGGCATTCCAGGACCGGGCATCCCCACAGTGGGCATTCCTGGAACAGCAGGATTACCTGGCACAGGCATCTTTAACCCCTTTTTTCCTTGAGCAGGGGGATTTTTCTCAATTTCTCTCATATCTTCTAGAGTAACTACATGAACAAAAGCTTCTCTTCCATTAAGCTTTTTACGGTGTAAACGTTCAGACTTACGTGCATCATCTTCATTTTTAAACTGAACCAATGCCTGTCCTAGACCTTGCCCATTGTTATCAACAAGAACATGTACAGCATTTTCATCCACTGGGATTCCTTCCAGGAACTGAAGAACATCCATCTTGGTAATGCTGAATGGAATATTTGTTATGTGGGCACAGACTTTGGTAGAGCTGACATCCCCCTCCGGATTTAACATCATTTCCCTCTGGTCATAGCTGAAGTTCTGCAGTCTTTTTCGAATCATATCTATCTTTTCTAGCATACCTTTCTTAGTAATTGGATGAACTTGAATAAAGCGATTGCCCATATATTGTTTATGACGACACAGAGCAGCCTTATAGTCAGCCTCATTTCTGAACTCTACGAAGCCTTCACCTGTTGCTTTCCCATTGGGTCCATAAGCAATATAAATACTATCTTCCACAATATCCAATTTTTTAAAAAAATCAATGACATGTTTGTTTTCAGCTTCAAATGGTAGCCCTTTCAAGTAAACACAAAAGCCAGCCTCGTGTGGTGATCTTGACCTTGACCTTTTCTGTCCACTGGGCGATTTTGTCCTGGGAAGTGTCTGAGGAGGGGGATGGGTTTGTCCAGAAGGTCCTATACTTTGCTTAAAAGTGATATGGCCTCCCGCAGCTACCCACTGTCTCTCTGTGGCAGGACTAATTTCCACATAGCGTTGAATCATCAGCATTCGGTTTCGTTTCAAAGCTTCAAATGTATCTTGAGGGGAAAGAAACTTAACCAATCCATTCCCATTATTTCGACCTACATGATCTTTCAACAAATGCACTGCATCAACACGGAGCCCATGGAAAAAATCTCGGACATCATTTTCCATTGCAGAAAAGGGCATTCCATGCACACTGACATACAGATCATCAGGATTGATGGGAAGTGGTTTCACACTGCTTTGAGAGTTCATCTGGATAGGGTTAACAGGATTCAGTGGACCCAAAAACACAGGATTCAAGTTACTGTTCAGATTCATAGGTGCTCCAGAGCCATTCATTCCAGCAGGTAGAGGTGCCACAGGTGGTGGGTTCAAGGGTGGCATGCCCGACATGGGGGGCAGTGGGGTCATGGGTGGCACAGATGGGACTGGGGGAATTGGAGGCACAGGAGGCACAGGAGGCAATGTAGGTACTGGAGGAGGAACTGGTATTGGGGGAATGGATGGCATTGGTGGCAAAGATGGCATTGCTGGGATTGGAGGAATTGGTGGTGGTGGGACTGTGTTCATTGGAGAGGCTGTGCTTGGAATGGTTGAACTAAATGTTGGGTTACCAAAGGAAGCCCCCATATTTGGAGGAGCCGTTCCTATGCTGGCTGTAGAAAATGTCTGTATGTTTTTGTTGCTTTCGTGAACAGAAGTGGCAGCAGTAACTACACTGGGTGAAGGATTATTAAAGTTGGGTACTGTTGTAGGCAAGTTTACCCTGCCACTCATTCCTGAGCTAGGTGGTGGTCCTGATCTACTAGCATTTGCTGGTGGTATATCTAAGTTGGCAGTTTCAAAGCGCCTACGACTCAGTTCAATCATATTCTGCATTTCTGTTTTACTACTCAACAACAGTGTTACTTTTGACCCTTTAATTGTACCACCTGTGCGCATCATACCAAGCCTTGCATCTTCATCAGTGGCAAAAACGATGAAAGCCTCACCCAGTTCACCCCCTACAATATGCACGCCCCCATCAGGGATGGTCAATCCAGAGAAGAAGTGGCGAATGTCCATGGTCCCCGCCACAATTGGGAGACCTTGCAAACGGATGACCACAGCCATGCTGCGCTGAAACCACACACACCTGCAGATGAGAAAAGGCAACGGCCAGGTCAGACTCCTGTTCATCACACCGAGTTTTTAGCTACAAGAATGACCAGCTACCTTATCAGGCCCTCAAATATTCCTCAAACTATCTCAAGCAATTTGGATATTCTAAAAACTGAACATTATATGCCATTTACAATGTAAAACCTACACAATTTCAACTTCCAAAAGACATTTACTCTGGAAGCAAACAGAAATTCAGTCCCAAGACTCAAGTTTCAAGAAAACAAAAACCATAGGATAGTTAAATCAATTATATCATTCAGACCACTGAAAATTATTCAGTAAGATTTAAAAGAAATGTGTAAATCAAATCAGGGAAACAAAGTTTAAGTCTATAGGGAGAAAACATACAAAAGATGCTTTGAAGTTAATAATTAAAACTGGCTTAGTATCTTCCTTATAGAAGTGACAACTCTGTAGAATTATCAGTGTCATTTTATATGGCTCAATCTCAAAATTCAAAAGAAACAAAACTGGAATACTAAAGAATTACAAATAATAATTAACACTAAAGTAAATTCATGTCTCAAGTGAAAACTGATCCCATATTTCATCCTAAAACTCTTCAATCTGCATTAGTTTTATTTATTAAAGAACTGCATATGGAATTATTTATTACAAGCAAGGTTAATACTAAGAATCCAAAAGAAATACTGGAAGAAAAAAAAAACAGCCAAAATCTTAGTTACTTATATTCATCACTTCAAAGAGTATAACCTGGTTACAGTGCCATTTAATATAGCTGTTTTAATTAAAACTCAGGTACATGACTCATTCCTAAATCCTCCATTAAAAGAAAAGGTCATTTTTCCCATAGGGGAAGGCTGATAATGAAAAAAAGGTAAATTCTGTTATTGCTTTTGTTTTAAAAGAACTAGGATTTGAACACTGACCCGACATTAACTCCTATGAATTTCTGAGTGCTCACTACTGATCTCCTTAGACATCTAATGATCATTTTGATTTAATCAAAAAGAATAGTTTCTTCCAGATTTAAATAAAATTACAGTATTTTATAGTTCTTATGGTTTCTAGGAGTAAATGCAAGGGTGTCCCTTTGTAAAATGATACAAAAAAAATTGTTGGCACTGGAAAATAAATTAATGTGGTCAACAACATAGGGTGTTTTCCAAGCCATCTTAAAAATCAACTTTTAAATATAAACCTGACTTGTAAGTATAAACCTGGCTCTGTGACCTCAGGGAACTTATAAATTATTTGAGCTTTGGTTTTATGCCTCCTCAAACAAGAATATTAGTACAGCAGTTTCCTGTTGCAAGCTCTAAGAATTCTGTAACTTCATGAAAGCTGTTTTCCATGTCAAATATTGTATGAATACTAATTTGATGCAACAAAATCTGTAATTTTAACTCTTATAATTGCTATACAAAAAGAGAGATACATTGTTTGGCTTTAACAGTTTTCTCATACACAAAAGTTACTTTCAAATTTACTCAAGAAAGATGGAACAGGCAAAACAGAAATGATGTCTGTGAGACTATTATAAAAACACTAGAAATTGGGGGAAGAGGGAAGCTTTTCACTTTTGATTTGCGAGAGTCAACAAGAAAAATTAACACTAACAAACTTCACACCAACACACTTTTTTCTTCTTATTTACTATTAGCAGTCTGTAAGGAAGCTCATCAAGAAGGTTCCAAATCATTAAATCAGATTCTCATTCCCTTGTTACTCTAGAATATTGGCTATTTGCAAAATTAAGATAGCATTCCTGTTCAACTTCAAAAAATGCTTAATCACTTAATCACTAAATGGGGGGAAACGTTATCTAGGCACCCCAAACAACTTGAGAGAGAGAGAGAAATGTTACTTTGCACTGGGACAATAAAATGGGAATTTGATATGGTCCAACAAACACAAAAATTTAACACAGGGCTCAAGTGACATACACAGTAAGTCTTCAAATCATCTGCTGCTAAGAGAGGATTTAGTGAAAGTCTGCACAAGGTACATATGAAAACATGATACTGAAAATCTGCCCAGATTACCAGCTAGAAAAGGGGTGAGGATTAAACCAAAGAAAGAGCACAGGATTTATTCATAAAGCCATCTACAAAGGAAAACAGCTTTTAGGTTCTGAAAAATATTAAGATCTGCTATTCTGCTAAGTGCCTATTTGAGAGAGAAGTCATTTCAACCTCTCTTGAGCCTACCTTAATTATTTTACCAAGAGGGTTAGATTCCAATCGCTAAGGCTCAATCTGAAGTCAAAATCTGTACTCTAATAAAACGTATGACCCATTATCTATACCTATACCTCTAAGGAATATTTAAAAACCATACCAATAACAAGCACTTGTATCTGTAATTAGTCTAGAATGCTGAGGAAAAAAACTGCCACTGCCTAATAATCAGGAACTCATCAGGAGAAATGCATCCATATAAAATGGACCCCAAAAAAGAAGCAACAACTGTTCAAGGCACCCAGTCCACCCACCACCATCCCTCAGATGATTTTTTTTAAAACAAAAACATAAACCAAAATTTAGTTACTACACACATTTCATGTTACTCAGAAAGCTATCTCAATTTATTTTATATAAAAACAATCCCTCTAGTCAAAATCTCTTACCTGATAAAACAAGAGATGTATTTTCTTAACAAGAAGTAGAGGCCAAGTCAATCCTGTGGGCAACCAATTAAAACCAACTTTTAGACTGCAATAGAGAATAAACGGAGGCAAAAATCAATGCAGGAAACAAAACACGCACAGGCCACACTGAACTGTACATTAAGAAAGCGAGTCTGAAAACACCAGAGTAATTCATTAGAATGCATATTAAAAAAAAAAAAGAAAGAAAGAAAGAAAAGAATGCCATGTACCAAAATCCCACACATGCTTATTACTTGGTATTGCTTTCAAATTTGAGTATCTCTCAAAACATTATACTTTACATACAAAAGAAAGTATCATAAATTAGCCCAAGAATGAATCAAATGAAAACAATAACAATCATAAAGCTCAGCCTCATAGCTGATAATTATTTTTATCACTTGATTATTAAAACAATGCAGAAAATTCCAAAACACAAATCCAACTGCGACCTATTTCCTCAAGTTCCCACCAAATTTTTTATGAAAAAGCAACAAGCTCACACAACAACAGTTCTAGGAACAAATTAAGCCACCATTCAAGGGTACTCTTGGAAATTATTGCAATTACTCTTTCAGTATATTTTCCTTTGCACCAAAATAGAATCAAACATCAAAAAAACAAATGAAGTCAAAGTTCTGGCTGTAAGGACTAACTCCCAATTAAAACCATTGTGGTTCAAGAGTTTACAGAAAACTGATTTTATTTTTAACACCAAAACGGTTCCAAGAAACTTGTAAAAAAAAAAAAAAAAAAAAAAAAGCCTAGCATATTAAGAGTACTTCCCAAAGGTAGGCCACTCATTTTTCACTGAAATTTCTCCCAAACTGGTGAAGTTATGAACAATTTGCAAGCAATATATGTGACCAAATGATTGAACAGCGGTATTCCAATGGTCATTTTTTAATTCAGAGAAAAGAGGAGAAAACTATCATGGTTAGGTATTAACTACAGATTGGTAGTAGATTAGTAATAGAAGACTACTTAGAATGATGTTCATTTTTCACTACCACCTTTCAAGATTAAGATACCAGCAGAGCTTAATATTCATCACCAAAAAGTAAAACATTAAAAAATTTTAGTGTAATTCCAAACTTTTTCTAAAGGACAAGCTAAACATCTTCTAAACAACTACTCATATTACTAAAAACAGAGAAATTGTTTTGCCACAAAAAGTAATGCAATAATGTCATAAACAATGCATCCAAAAGTCCAGAGCACCATATTAATCTTTTACATGTTGTATAAATCAATCCTAGTTAAGTCTAAAAAGTTTTATAGTAAGACTATTTTATTTAAAAGCCACATCTAGTAGTTTATCTAATGGGTCGCACAGGGAAATGTGAAACAGAAAAAAAGCTTAATTAATGTAAAGGCTATGATCAATGAGGAAGAGTATGAATTTTTGTAATTTTTATTTCTAAATGGACAGGTTTGACTCTATCAGTCACGGAATTAGGGTAATTTTCTAGTTAAGCACTTGTGACTCCCCTAGCAGAGATACCAATTAAAGAGGTCTGGTGTAGGGCCAGGACATGTGACTTGAAGGTGAGGGCAACAGGTTCCTCAGCTTCTTCCCTTACAGACCCAAGAAGACACCATATGTCCATCTAGAGAGGAACAAGTTTAGGGTCAGGCGATGAAGATCCACAGGAACATACCAGATCTACTTTCAAAAATTTCTACAAGGTTGCCAGAAATTACTAGAGTAATAAGAGAATGTCTAATGCCACAAGGAAAAGTTGAAAGGCCCAGATGAATTTGATAAATGCCTAGTTCAAGCTTTACATGTTCAATTTAAAGTACAAAATCAGTGTAGACATCAATTTGTCAGTCTTTTCTATTTCAGCAAAAGGAAAGCCCCATATCAAAGAAAAGTCGGCAGAAAGTTCAGGCTAGAAGCCAGAACTTCACAACCCTTGGTGTTACACTTCTTTCTTCAAATGGGCAAAGTAAACAGAAATTGAGAATGAAGTACTTTTGTTTTCAGCACCTTACTTCGTAAAGAGCACAATAATTTAATAGAAGTATCACTGTTTTCCAGTTACCTACTCATTCCTGGGCTGTAAATGTCAGCTAGCAACTGAGTGCAAGGCACCAAAATGAAAAATGCACTCCAATCGCCTTAAGCTTTGGTGAATTTTAGAAGGATAAAACTGAAACAAATCTATGGAACAAAACATCTAAAGCACACATTTTACCTATACATAGAGCATACGAGTATGAAGGAGAAAATGGGCCTGATTTGCCATTAAATTCACTGGTATATTTCAGAAGTTCTCAAACAAGAAGCTTGCTTTATTTAGTACACTTTTCCACCTTATGTTAATAATTAGTTCTAACATAGCTTTGCTTCAGCTTTACAAGTACCACATACGTGCAAGTTACAAATACCTGCTACAAAAACGTAGCATAGTATTATGGCAAGACATATTTTGTTATTCACTAGCCATTTCAATTGCTTGGAATATCAGAATAGAGTAACAATACTCTGTATGAGGAAGCCAAGGCACAAACCAGAACTTGACTATTTCCACTCTTCATCCAGCAATAAACATCCAAAAGTGAATCTTAATTTTGTTCAGTCTAAAGTCAGCAAGAACCAAAATACAAAGAGCTAAGTTCTTCAGATTCAAAAGAAACAAAAAACAGCATCCTCAGCGACGGGCAACAGAGAACCAATCATGGGCATAATTATTTTGTCTGAATCCCCAAACGAATCACATTTCAGATTCTGAAATCATTTTTAATGAAACAAATTTTCTGAAACTGAGAGGGATCCCTGTGACAGCACATTATTCTTTTCCATTAAACTTCAGTCAGTACTCAAAGGCTGCAAATCAAGACATTTCTAAATAAATATTTATTCCTCCTGCCAAACACTGTAATATTATTTTTCAACACCCCCCAAGTGCCAACAAAAATGTTCATTATCTTACTTGATTTAAACTTCAAAGCAACAATATTACTTCTTACCTAGCCAACCACATTCACACTATTGATCTTGAGACTTAAAAGCTGGTTTTAAACTTAATGAACAAACTATGCAAACCAAATGGTATATGGGGTGGTAGTAGTAAAACTTGATATAATTATAAATTAGGTGAAATTATTTTTCTGCTTAGTTGACCTAAACATTTAATAGTATTCATTTATCCCACGAACATTTATTAAGCACTTGTGGACCACAGAAATAGATGAAAGTCCCCTAAAAGTAAGGGATATCTAAAAGCATCTTTTTGTGCAACCAATTACCAACACTTAAAGTTCTTCCTACAGCCACAAAAGAAAATATTCATCTAAAGTAAATGATAGAGTGGCTTTCTACAAAATGGAATAAAAACAGTATGAACATTGTCACTGGATTCCAGCACCTGGGAACACAATAGTCCACAAAATCAAGTTTCGTATCTAAAAACTGTACCAGTAAGACCCAAATTCTCAATATGCAACCATCAAACATTTGGCATGGCAAAGTGAAAGAATCCTTAAGTATACTGGTATTAGCACATAATAATATGCTTCAAGCAACTACCAATGGTTTCTACAGCTTCACATTTTTCACCTAACAGATTAAAAACGTAAGAAAAACACATATGCATTACAATCCATAAACAATCAGTATTTAATGAATCGTATAAAGGTGATAATGCATTCCGCTTCGTTTAAAACTTTTTTCCATTTAAAACTTTAACACTAAGCACACATCCGCAACTTTTCTTTTATATAAACACGCCAAACATTTCATTTTCTTCAAAAATTAATTACCATCAATTTATTTTAACCACCTGTAACAGTTCTTCCTGACTTTATCTTTTTGGAAAATACCTGAACATAATTACTCTCCACTAAGTCTTGAAATCCACCATTCTATCAAAACCACCAAATTTCAAAAACAAGTACAGGCGGTCTTGTATTTCTATAATTAAGAAACAATGAAACAATATCCACCTGTACGTCCATATCTGTAGCATTTTTTTTCAACTGCAAATGCTCTGAAATGTATTAACAATATAAACTAGATAACAAAGCCCAAGGCAATTCATATTTCTTCATTTTACAAAAATAATACCATTTTAAACCATTCAAGCTAGAAGCTCCAGTCACAAATCTCTCCTTCAACAAACCTTCAATTAGTCAAATTTTTCCAGTAGGTTATATTGACTGACATCACTATCATCTCGAACACAGAATGGTTCCTGCCAACTACCACAACTTACATTAGGTCATGTCTGGGAATCCAGGAGCCAAGGAGTTTCACGGTCCAGAAATCTCTCCTAAGAAACTCGCAACCCTCAGTATACAACTCTCAGCATGTTTGGTGCTGAAAACCCAGTTACCTTCACAGGAAGCCCTTTTCACTAGAAAGTACACATTGCAGGCACACGTAAAATCCATGCATTTACTATCTAGCAGTAAGCCTCCTGTACTAGCGTTCACCCCCATCACTAACCTGTAGATCCTCAAAGCCCCTCCTATCCATTTCACACGGCTGTAAAAATAGCGCTTCCAGCCTTCAGTGGAGAAACAATTCACTCTCCACCTAAAGAACCCATCCTCCATATCCCATTGGGTCTCCTTCAGTACTGGAGGCTCTCTCCCAAAGGATACGTAAACGTGGTACTCCTAAGTCCCTTCCCAATTTGCTGATCAAGGGCCTGGCATCTTAATACAACTCTTGAGACTCGGGAAGCGCGCTCACCCACTTTCTCGCTACTGTAGCCGTCTTCTCAAATCACTACCACCCTCGAGAGTAAGCCCCGCCCCAGCGCTGGGCCTTGGAATCATTTCCCTGTAACCCCCTCCACTTTCAAGCCATGCAGGCAGCCAGTTTTGAAACTTCCTCTCTAGACGCTCGGGACTGTACTATCGCCTCCCCACAGGTGTGTCCTGACTGTAGTGCCCCCTTTTTCTGTTACGCCACATGGCCTCCTTTCCACTTTGGTGGAAGGAGTGTCCTCACTAGGATTATCTCACTTCGGGGCACAGAAATGTAGTTACAACCTGCCCAATTTTAGTTTGGGGAGAGGCACATAAAAGTCTTGCTCATTTGGGATGTAGGTGTGTTTTCACGGCAGTTCCGGTTGGTTCGCAGGCCGCTGGGCCACCCAGCTCGGGCTCTTCCCTCACAGACCACGGGGGCGTCCTCGCTATGGCCTTGTCCCCACTTCAGTACGCAGGCTCATCCTCTCTTACATCCCTCTTCCATCCTCTCTGGCTTTGGAGGCACAAGTGGCGCCTCAGGCCCCCCGACCCTTTTGTGTGGGATACTCGCTGCGGCGGGCTCGGAGGCCTCCGAAGGCCCCGCCCCGGGCCACCAAGGTACGGCTCGAGCCCCGCACATCTCTGCCCGTTCTGGGGCTGCGGGAGTCTTACCCGGGAGAGCTCCGCGGCTCCCGAACCCAGACCCGAGTTACCCCCCGCGCGAGCGCCTCCGCCCCGCGGCCGACAGCCCCAGACCGAACGGCTTCTCGGAGACCTGGGTAGCAACCACCTCCTTCGCCGCTTCACAAAATGGCCGCCAGCCCGCTCAGCAGCTCCGCGTTCCAAAAGAGGCGGGGCGGAGTGGTACGTCACTGGACGGTGCGGCGCAAGCGCGCTGGGATGTTCGGGCAATTTCCCGGAAGTTGCGAATGTTTCCGGCCCTAGGAGCTCAGTCTGTGTAGCAATATTGGCGCACTAGCCGCCCCTTACGGGAGTGAGGCTTTAACGGTGCAACTGGTGCGAGTACGTGGCTTTCCCCCTTACTGAAGGATTTTATGCAAATTGCTCCATTTCTTAGAGCCTCTGCGACAGGAGGGAAATAGTAACTACCTCACAGAATTGTTTTGAGGGTTAAATGGACCACAAGGTAGTGCGTAATTCTATTGATGATGCCCTGCCAACAGAAACCTGTTTTTTTCCCATTTAAAAATTCAATCCCGGGGCCTTTCCCCACCGGCCCTGATTAACCCCTTCACAGCTGCACTTTATCATAGAAAAAAATCTCATGCTGCTTTTGTCCTAGCCTTCCAGCTTTCACTTCCCCTGCCTGTACCCTGTTTTCATGATTGTCACCATAACTGAATTAATATTCGAAGTCAGAAAGTGAGGAGTCAACTAAAAAATAGTAAATTCCCACAACTCCAACAAGCTTTTGGAAAGATTTGTGTGGCAGACTTTCCTAGTGCTAGTCCAATATGACAAAAACAGCAAATCAAAAAACCAGGCCCCATTTTTAAACCAAACCTATTATACACTTTTTGTAGGTATAATACAGTACAGTAAAAACAAAAACTATTAGTGGTATCCAGGATTGGATCCTAGAATAGAAAAGACATTAGTGGGAAAACTGGTGAAATCTGAATAAAATCTGAAGTTTAGTTAATACTAACATACACTTTAATCTTTTAGTTTTGACAAATGTACCATAGTTTTATACAAGATGTTAAAGTTAGAGAAAATTGGGTGATGGATATATAACTCTATACTATCTTTGTAACCTTTCTCTAAAATTATTCAAAATAAACATTTTATTTAAAAAAAACGTTATTTCACCTCCTTCCCCTGTCCAACTGCATTCACCATACTATGGCAGCTTAGGGGCTTTCAAGCTATTTTGACTATCACCCACATAAATACATTTGCAACCTGGTGTACACATTCAAATATATAATCAAAATAAAATACTTAAAATATGTATGATGTACTCTTATTTTTTTCTCTTTCACTTATCATTAGTAACTACTCACCTGTGGTATTCAGGCCCACAAATGGAAAAACTCTACTCAGCTGCACTGGCCTTTTATTGGTTTCTCAAACACACCATGCTTTTTCACACCTCAGGCCTTTTGTTCTTGCTGCTCCTTCTCATCCCTAGCTCTGTCCAAGCCTGGAAATCACATTTTTGCTTAAATAATACATCCTCAAAAAAACTTTCCTAGTACACCAAGCATAGTCTTCTCCCTGTTATGTCCTCTTACAGCTCTATTTCTTCCATAGCAATCCTCTCAATCTGTAATAGGCTTATCTGTTTACTTCTTTTCTGTTTCTTTGCTACAATGAAAGCTTTAACGAGAGCAGGGTCCTTTTTGGTCCTGCTAACCAATGTAACCCAGTGCCCAGAACAATGCCTCCTGACAGGCACTCAAGTAATTGTTGAACGAAGAGATAATGCAAGCTGACTGAGTTATCTGTGGAAATCAAGTGGAATGGTAGTTTGCTCCACAGTTCCCAAGCATAGACTGGAATTTTCTCTGAGACTCTCAGAGTCACAGAAGAAGATGATTTTATTTCTCTAATCTGCAAATCAACAAAATTTTTTAAAAGAAACATAAATTATTAGAATAATGGTTAGAGTCATATAGATATTTCTAACTCCGTTAGGTCAAAAGAAAGGAAGGAGGACAACAACAGGAGACAAGCCTTCTAAGAAACTTGCTGTTTAGTCTACAGTCAATATGAAGAAATAGCCTTTAACGCCACAAAAACAATTAAATCTTGGTTGATTATGCTTGTTCCTGAAGGGGTCAGTCTCTCTGAGCAGCAGTAACCAATAATTCAAAAGTCCACATAGAGCATAAAGGTCCCTGAACAAAGAGTCTTTTTCCAGTTCTTTCAGCTGTCCCCATCAAGGACATGAACATGTCCAGCAATAGCATCAGAACAAATGTGCCTCCCGTTTCAGGATAAGAACATCCATTCATTACAAGACTAGAGGACTCCTGGAGAGAAATGGGGAGTGTTCCCCACCAAAGGAACTGAGGTTGGAGAAAGATCATTTTCTTGTGCTTCTGTCTTACAGGTGAGCTGATGCTAGGCAATACCAATTCTGGGTTGTACACAGAGCACCCATCCACTGGGTGTAACAAGGTGCCCAACTGTATGTGGGTTAGTGAGGCAGGAGCCAGGACAGCACGAAGTCAGAGGCCCACTCTGCTAGTGTTGGGTCCACTTGATACTTTTGAGGTCAATGCCATCCTGCACCATCTCCCAGAGAGGGCTGCCAAAGAGAAGAGATATTGGATGAGTGCAGGCTTAGATAGGAAGTAGCCAGCTTTGGCTCCCAGACCCTCAACCCTGACTTACCTCTATCTGTTTGTGCTTCTCCTCCACCTCCTTGCTCTGATAGGCCCCAACACAAGTTGTTAGCAAGTCTTTCCCAACTATATCTATAAGTCTGTGTCAGCTCTAGCCTCTCTCCAGCTGTCAACGGTAATAACTAGGTCTCCCAAGCTCAGCTCCAGTGGGGCCAAGCCAATTGCATCAGAGTGTGGTCATATTCATGAAGCTCTCATCCCATTCATGACAGGCTATGGACACAAGTCTCCCTGGGGGGGCCAAGCCCCCTTGGGACCTGTGTATGTAGCAAGTGCCCTTTGAGTATGCCAGAGTACCAAAAGGCCACGCCAAGGAGGAATTTTGAGCCTAAGAAAGCTAAGCAGGCTATAGATAGTTAAGCAATACAACTACACCCTGGGAAGGAAAACCCAGAGCCCAGAAAGGCCTGGGAGACCTCACAAAGGGAAGCAAGGTAAACACCTGAACTTCTTTCTTCACTCTTATCAATCTGACCAAGAGAATCTTGAAAGTCAAACTGAACCAGGACAGAGCCAGTTTCTGAAAAAATCTAGAGCCCTTTGATGTTCCCAGGAGGAAGAAGAGCCCTGTGGCAACTAGGGGAAGCCAAAGATACAATGGCGCATACCTCATTTCCCGAAGACGCTTCACATGGTGAATGCACTTCTCCACTGTGTAGTCCACTTCCTCTTCTGTAGTGAAACGGCCAATGCCAAACCTGAAAAGGCACAGGAGAAGGGCTCTGCATCAGAGTTCTGGCACCAGGTAATTAATTCAGCAAGTACTCAAGTGAGGATCTCTTCCACAAAAGATATAGTGAGAACATGGGCCTTCCTCTCTAGGTCAGAGTTCTAGGGTCTATGGACCACCTATATTACAATCACCGGAGAATTTACCTAGTCTTTCTCCAAATTTAGTGAATCAGAATCTCTGAGTATGACTCAGAAATATTCATCTTTCACAAGTGTCACAGGTGATTTTCAATGCAGTCTGAGAACCACTGCTCAGGAAACTTTCATGAAGAATTAATAAGGGTTAAGGGAAACCAGTTTGAGGAAGACTCTAACAGGAGATGAATAATACGAAA